TATATATATATATTGCTTGTACGTTGCCCCTAAATCGATGAGAAATATCGTTTAACATCATCGTGCCCAATTTCCTGCCGATCGGACTCGAAATAAAGGAGCTTCAGGCTTTTTTCGATGAGCGTCGCCCCTTAACAACAACAAGAACAACAAGAAGAACGGGACTAGTTCCTGGTACAAAAATCTGTCTAAATTATAAAGCTTACAGTATAATTAAAATTCCATGCCGTTCAATCAAACGTCACCCGTTGGATAGAGGGTTCAACCGGATCCATTGGTGTACAGCTACAGTATATAGGCTATCATGAAAGCTAGCAACCTTACCCATAATGTGTTCTCTTGTGATATCCAACCCTAGCTGCCAATTCCAGCAGAACACCATCCCTTTTAGGTGCATTGTCAATCACAACGATTCCATGTTGGTAAAGACAATACAACAAATCAAACAAACTTTTATCCTCACTCATCAAGACATTATAATCATGAAATGGTATCTTATCTTGCATCATTTCTCGATTCCAAAGAATGAGCTCATCTTTGACAAGGCTGTCTGAATTCCGCTGTCTAAGTTCATTTTTTTCTGGCATCCTCATGTTGTGAAGCAAGTGTAATGAATAACTGCTCTCGTGTCCGCCCGGCCAAATGCATTTCAGATACCGACCATCTTCTGAGATGACAGCTTCTTCAATTTGGATGTCCATCATAAGATCTCTTGCTGTGTTGAAAAGCTTTTGTTTACTGGATGACTCAAAACATTTTGGACACGTGCAGTTATCACGTAGATAATTATAAGGAAATCTTGAAGCAGTACCATCACTCCATGCAACTTTCAAACATCTGTCGTCAAGATCTTTATACACATTTTTTATGAAACTGAAGTTGCCTGAATTGCCAGTTGTATCTAAAAACAGGTTTTAATTACAAAAATCATAAGCACCAAGGGTTTGAGGGATATATTTAGCTGAATGGTTAGTTAAGTCGTGGCTTTCAGAAAAGTTTCTCTTTCTTCATATGAGTCCTATTTAAAATTCCAGATTTTCCCACCCAACAAAATAATAAAACAGATTTACAATTACCAAATTAAGCCATAAACTTTTTATACACTAATTTCCAAATCCAAGCAATATGATATGTGAACCCGCCCTATTTTTTTACTTAAATCTGGCCAATGCCAGATAATTTTGCTAATCAAGGTTTAATAAAAATTAGATCTGGACCATTAAGAACAGGACTTAGACCATCAATTTCGTTGCTCGAAATGAGATTGGGGCCACCCAGTGATTTTGTGAGGTCTGGGACAATATTTTGGTAATAATAATAATTTATTCAAATGCATGACCTAATTTACAGGTATTGCTAGAATATTCTATATATATATATAATTACATACAGTACAAGGTATTGAAGAAACGAACATATATAAAGTAAAAGTGTCATTATAGTGATTTATACATCTATTTTATGGATAATATAGATCGTATTCGTAGTTTCTAAGTAAGGGTTTTTTTATGAAAGATTGGAAAACAATTTGCAGTGTGATTTTCGCAATGAATTTGAAATTAGCTGCAGTCGTTTTTTATTACGTATTTTCCATGGGTTTGAGGCTATTTTCTCGCTCTGTTAAGCAGAGAGAGATAAATTTAGAGAATAAGTTAATGAGAACAATGTCATTTGAGGACATTAGATGTTCTAGTAGTTTTTGTTTAGTCTGAGATGTTGTACTCAATTGGAAAAAATCTTTTAATATGTCATTTGTATTGTTTCTTAAAGTTTCATATGTTTTGCATGCAAAAGCAACATGAAATTCATCTTCTACTTCGCCGGAGTTACAAAGTTTACATAGACGTTGTTCGCGTGGAATGTTTTTGTGTCGTCCGTATTCAATTTCGAGTTTGTGATTACTGATTCTAAATTTTGAGAATTTTTTTCTTTGTATTGGGTTTTTTATAAGATGTAGATAGTCTTCTAGTTTATAATCTTTTTTGAATTGACAAAAGAAGGACAGTTTTGGAGATTTCGTTATTTTGTGTTTCCAAAATTCAACATATTTTTCTTTTATTCTATTAACTATGGTTTTTGTATCGATATTTCTTAGGGCAATTTCAATATTAGTTGTTTCATCATCTTGAGAATAGTAAGGTTTTAACATGTTCATAGCGTTTGAGTAAAATGATTCTTTTCCATTTTTGTACAGGTCTCTCGAAACAAATAAGGCCTGTTTTATAATTGTTGTATCAGGTAGTTCGAGGATGTGTTTTAGGTAGTTGATTATGTTTTTTTGTATTGTGATTAAAAGCGGAAATTTTCCTAGTTCTGCTCTGCAAGCCGTATTGGTAGCCTTTCTGTTTACTCCCAGATATAGCTTGCAGAACCTTAGGTGGGCTTTTTCTGTTTGTGAATTGTCCCACTTATTGTAGTCATTTTTTTGGTATGCTCCCCAAACTTCACAGTTATATAATAGAATGGGCGAGATAACTCCATTAAAAATTTTGATAGCTGTCTTGGGTGATAGTGAACTAATGTCAAGTTGTCTGCGAATTTTGTGTAAAGCGTGTAATGCCTTTTCACTAAGTTGCTTTTGTGTGAGTTTAAATTTGCCATTTGGTTCTAATTTAAGGCCAAGATAAGTATATTCTTTAGTAATTTCAACAGTATTGTTACCAATAGAAAAATTCAGTTTTGGAATTTTAGAGTTATGTTTTTGGAAGATCATGATTTTTGTTTTTTTTCATATTTACTTCCATTAGCCATTTTTTGCACCAATTATGAAGTTTATTCAAGCAGTTTTGAAGTCCTGATTTAGATCGTGATAGGATGATAAGATCATCAGCATATAAAAGGCTATTTATTGCGGTTCCATTTGGGAATACTAAAGGATCTGATTGTGTTTTTTCGAAAAGTTGTGGTAATTCATTAATATAAATATTAAATAATAATGGGCTTAATATACAACCTTGACGTACGCCTTTCTTATATTGGAAAAATGATGTTCTATAGTCTGATAGTTTGATGGCACATTTTGTTTTCGAGTACATGTTTTTAATTAGTTCGTAAAAG